CACATGAATCATGCCAAGATACTTACACCTTGAAAAACGTGGGCTGATCAATATATATATATATATATATCTTCAAAATGGTGGATCTAAATTGTATACAAAAGACAAGTAATTAGAACCAATCTAAATATAAGAAACAAAAGTTCGGTAGTTGAGTAATCTAAATCTTAAACAATAATAAGGGGGATAGTGTACTGTCCACACCTTCTTTTCTCTGTTAATTTGATTTTGTTTTTATCTCTCTCTAAATCTTAAAAATAATAAAGAGAATAATATACCATCTACACCCTCTTTTCTCTCTCTATTTGATTTTGTTTTTATCTCTCTCTAAAATTTCATAAATTGGTATTTGCTTGTAAGATGGTTGTTATTTCTTTTAGTTTAAAGGACATTTTGGTTGGAATGACTACGTGAAAAGATAGAATTCTTTATGAGAGGGTTGTAAATCTTTTTTAGTTTGGAGGGTACTTTAGTTGGCATGGCTTTCCAGGTTTGTAATTTCCTTTAATTTGGAGGGCATTTAGTAGGTAGATTTTGTAATTATCTTTTTATTCTCTCCTTATGCGAAACCTCCATTCACCATATCCGTTCCATCTCCAGCCATTAACTTCATCATTGATGGCTCCCAAACACTTCATCATTCTAAGATTTGATCTTCTGTCATTTTTTTTTAATTATTTTGTTTGTTTTATTTTTACCTTTAAATTTAGGAAAGTGATTGTCTAGAGTCAGTTATAATAATACACAATATTTTTGAAATTGAATTTTATGTAGATGTATTCACATTTATGTTGGTTTGGGCAATCTCAAAATACCATCAATTTTCACTTAGTCGTCAGCAAAAACATGATTTTAACCATAAGATTTAGAATTCTATATAACCTCCTTTAATATTGTGTAAGACTACAAGGTTTCATTTTCTCTCTTTTTTGCTTCTAATTTTGTTACAAGTTTGGAAAAACAAGATAATTTATTTAGAATAAAAAAAGACAACTGATAAACTACTTAATAATGTTATCATTATTTAATATAGCTTATTAGAAGCAAAATATTGTTTTTGTATTTTTTTTATCAAAAAAGTTTTTAATTTGATTGTATTGGATTGTAAACATAAACTTTTCAATAAAGGTTTTTTTGGATTTAAGAGTCCATGTTTTGTAGTACATACAACTCAGATCACAAAACAACATACTCTTTTATCTTTTTACAATAATAATTTTTAATTATAATTGGTTAAATACCATTTTTGGTCCCTGTACAGAAAAAATACCCTTTTTGGTCCCTGTACAGAAAAAATCCCCTTTTTGGTCCTTACTGTTCACAAATTCGGCCCCTTTTTAGTCCCTCCGTTAAATTTTGGCTGATGTGGCAGGTTAATTAACGGAAAAATTCATTTTGTTTTTTTTATTAAATTACGTGGAAAATCCACGTGGGAAAAATTGAT